GGTTTTGGCAGCATTTTCTGCACAAGTCTCAGAATACTCGCAATCAGGGCATCCTATCAATAAATACTTAAAAAGCTAAACATACAGAAAATTCTGCATCACGTTTAATGAGCGCAGCTTTAAACGAATCAAATGTGTTATTTTTCTTCGCCAGATGTATCACAAACTCGGCTGAAATAAAGTGCACTACGTAAAAGAAGCATACCAAGAACCTTGTCTTCAAGGCCCAAGTGATTGTTAAGTTCAGTACAGACTTTTGACACAAGGGAATAATACTCGAGCTTCCTGAAAGCCTTCTGCTCCTCCGACAATTTTTCCATTTCGTACCAATGGCTAATTTGAATTGTTTGTTACTCAAACAGTTTATTAAAACATTAAGAAGAAATACAATGAATATTCTTCTGCAATTTTTTATAATTCCTTAATTATCAATCATTTCGTTGCAAAAATCTCTTTGAAATAAGATAAAAACTGATTGAAAGTGAGAGTTGTATTCATGTTTGTCGTAGCAGATAATCTCCCGGCAGCCCTGTTTGAAAGTAAAAGATTCTGAGTAATCGCCAAAAGTCGAATTTTGTTTCAGGCGTAACTTTGCTCGCTTAACTGTCACCTTGAAATCTTATAGCATGAAGAATTAAGACTGCTACTTTGTTGATTAGACTGACCACTTAATTGCTTTTGATGGCGCATTGATCACTACCGCTCGTTGTTCCGTCACAGTGTATCGTAAACGTGCTTCTTGCTTTACCGCAAACTTCACTGTCATTCTTTAGTAAAAATCCTTGTTTTTTCTATGCATAAAAGTGTCTTGTGGGATCAATTCTTTGCCGTATCTGTGTGGTATAGATGAAGTTTTACGCAGAAATAGTAAACGTAAAGGTATGTCTCAGGGTATCAAAGGTGTTTGAGTTCTCCGCTTAAATCTCCTTCTGGATCTAAGACACGTCCTCTTAAGACAGAGGCGACATTTAGTCGGCACTGTCCTCTTTTAATGTATCTGCTGTTTTTAACTTACACAGGCGGCTGGGGCTGTTCTAAATTCGAGCCTGTAACCTGCAAACGAAGACTACTCAGTGTGCAATCTTCGAAGCGTAATACATATTTTGCGCTTGACCTGTCATGCCATTGCAAAAATCCGCCTACTTTGCTTAAACTGTTTTATCAATCGAGGTTGATTCAATTTTCATCCACCAAAATCGTGTGTAGCTATCGGAAAACGCGAATTTTCTCCGAATCTTTCGTCTGTGGAGTGACCCTGATTACCCTGCTTAGTTGGTGTGGTCAGACCCGGCAAGACCAAGCCCTGGTCACGGTTATTTTAAGGAAATATTCTAAAAGCCTTCGAATAGTTTAAATAAACACTTTTACATCTAAACATATTGTTTTTATCTAAATAAGTGTCACTTCAATGAACTTCCAGGAAGCTACTCCGTCAACTGAGTAGAATAATTTGCTTAAGTGGGCAATCAAACACCATTTCACTACCAATTTTTCGTCGTTAGTGCAGCAGTCTTCTCATTTATCTAATGTTTGCGCCTCTTCCTTACGTGATTCTGCGTTTGATTTATGTGCATCAAATCTTTACCAAAAAGCTTATTATTATGTATTGTCGGTTTATAGGCAAGTCAGTCAGTCAGTCAGTATATTTGAGGGAAAGGTAGGCTTGCGCCTTT